CTGTATTTTCTTAAAAAACATTAAGGATTTTTCACATCTGTCTGAGGTCTCTCTCTGTATATATATATCTTATGACTCACTACCCGAGAAAACTACCTATACACAGCTGTTGCCATCACCCATACTCCCATGTGCTTCGCTAATTTATTGTAGAGTGCGTCTAGTTATCGTTTAATTAGAGGATTCGTACCCCAATTTAAATTATAATTTATGATTTGTTATAATATTTTTTTCACAAAAAATACACGTAAATTAAAAATAATTCTAATCTTATGATTCTAATCTAAAATGGTTATAATATTATGATTCGTGTCATGGTTTGAATCATGATTCGTTGCTCGTTACAGTGTTTTTTCTCACAACAAATATACGTAAATTAAGAATAATTTTAAATCATGATTCTGAATCTATCTAACAAACGTTCTCGTAGTGTTTCTCTCTAATATTATCTCCTTGTTCTTGTTCTTTTGTATTTTTTTTTTCCTTTAATTTACCCCATTTTTCATTAATGAGGTTCGTTTGGTTGTGTAGTTTTGTGATATGTTAGTATGCTACTTACTTGGAGACCAAGACAAAAGTAGTTATATGACCAAAAGTCGAAAAAATTGTGCTACTGTAACTATATATTTTATATATATATATAATCCATCTAGTACTGTTATACTTCATGTTAAAATTAGGAGCGATAATTCAAATAGCGATACGACAACACGATTTGAAACCCGTACGAAATTAACGGGTTTGGGTTTATTATAAATAGATTTATGTCATAATCAGGTTGACACGATTAATAAATGAGTTGGGTTAGAATTGACCTCCTAACACAAAGTGACACGAATTGACACGATTAACTATATGTGTCATCTACAATCTAATAATATGTGATATAACATGAAAGTTTATATGACATATTAAATACAAATAATGTGAATTTTAATATTTGTAGGTAAAATTCATTTATTTTTCTTAAAGAAAAAGATAAATTGAACAATAAACATGTTAAACTTGTCATGACCGTGTTAAATAAGTCATTATTATCTTAGTTATTTATTCAATATATTAATTTAAACGGGTTATACGAGTTGACACTATTAACACGATTAATAAATGAGTTGTGTTTGGATTAACATTTTTGACAGTTTAATAAACATATCGTGTTTAGGTTGATGTTTTCTGATATGATTAATAAACGGGTTGACACGAACACAACCCACTAACACGAATTGTTAAAAATTTTAGCATAAAAATATTGCAAATGACTCAATCAAACTGAGGTGAAAAAATGTCAGTATAACTTTTAAACACCGTCTCTTTTACAGTTCGAATCATAACTCAAATTTTTTATTATAATATTTTTCTTATAAAAATTCAAATTAAACTTTTTTTTTATAGTGTTTTCTCTTATATAAATTTACTATTCGAGTCCTCAATATCCCGGGAAAAATTACAACAGTTTGGTGCGGTTATCCATGTTTCAATTGGTTTGAACTCAGTATATATGTATTGATTTCACTTTTTAATAGATAAAAAAAGTGTAAAGAAGTGTACTCAAATACTTAACATTATCTCATCTATATTTTCATCACCATCTTATCTCACGCATAGTATTATAAACTTTTCCAAACCAATGTTCACCTAGCTATTTAATGAAATGGAAAAGCAATAATTTAGGAAAAGAGACTTTCTCTGTTAAGCTGGCTTATCGATAGGTTCAGTTTCTAATTATTAAATTTGGTCTAAATCACATCAAATTAAAAAAACATATAAAACATATAATTTCTAATACAAATTTAACAATTAAAAAATAAAAAACTATCCTTTTTTTTCTGTTCTACTAGAGAAACTCTTTTAGAAAAAATATTAAGCTCACTCAACTATACATAATGTGCTAATTGGTTGGTGTGACAAACATATATTACTAATCAACCAATCAATAGTGTGTCACAATTATCCTTCGATTTCCAAACCTTTCGAGGGATTATATATTGTCATGATGTGACAGAAAAGAAAAGAAAAAAAGTCAGCAACGTCTACAAAATTTGGAGTAAAAGTTGGGAGAAGTTTCTCAAGACACATTTGGCAGAGGCCTCAAACTTTGACTATGATGAGCTCTTTTCGAAGGAAAAAAAAAAAAAAGAGACCAACTTTGTGACTTTTTGGCTCTTTCTTTTTTTCTTTTCCTCACCCAAGTGGCTTGTCTTTCTTCATTTCGTCAACACGCAAGAAAAATCAAAGGGCCTTTCCTATCTGTCGGTTCTGTTTCTTATTTTTCTTCTAGGATTGTTTTCTTCTGGCTAATAAGTTTTCTTCTAGGATTGCTACGATTGTATTATTGTACTTGCAAAGTGACTTTGATGAGTGATGATATATATATATATATATATATATATATATAACCCTCCTTCTAAAGATCATAGCTTTTAATTAATTGGACCCCACTTGAATGTACGATATTCCAAATTTAAATAGCCATCCTATCAATCACGTAATATTGAGTACTGCTACTAACTTTATGTTTAAGTTAATTACATTTTGTTACATTAATTTACAAGATAATATAGAAAAAGACTCATAAAACCCGTTTAATTTATTCATTTAAGTCAATGATTTTAATTTATTATGTTTAAGTTAATTACATTTTGTTACATTAGTTTAAATATATTATAGAAAAAGACTCCTAGAATTTATTTAGTTCATGCGTTTAAGTCAGTAATTCTAATTTATTAGTAGAAATTTTGTGAGAAAACTAAAAATTTTTTAAATTTAAATTTTTTATGAAAAAAACACCGTAACAGAATTATAATTATGAGTTTAAATGCATTTATCAAACGTTCTATTATAATATATACAAGATTCATGTGTAACATACACGCTAGCTACTATATGACATTGCATTGTTGGATCAAAGACATAATGTGAAGGATAGTTGGTAGTATGTTACTATTTTTCCAAATACCAATTTAAATTTGTATGCTGCTAGTACTTTTACTATTTTTTGGTGGGCTGAATATAATTCAAATTGGAATACGCAAACTCAGACAAAAGCATACAAAATTATACATGGAAATATATATTCACGAACATATATAGTTGGCAGGCCCTGACGCTAAAGAGAATTCAAAATTGTGGGTTGCATGTGGGTGGGTGACTTTTTGCTTTATCATATTTGAGAACGGGTGAATACATAAAAAGTCAAGGTTTTTTTTTTTTTTTTTTTTTTAAGAAAAAAACTTGTTTATGCGTTTCTTTGTTCTTTTGGCGGTGAAGGAAAGGGGTGGGAGGGGTTGTCATATATATCATTAATTTTCGAGTTTACATATATGTATATATATATATATATATATTGGTATATTGAGCTCAATGTAATAATAGATTGAATTTCTTTTCGATTTTGTCATTCATTTTATGGTCGATTGGAGGGATAAAAATAGAAATGAGCCCGTTTGGTTCGCTACAGTATTTTCTCTCATAAAAAATACACGTAAATCGAAAATAATTCTAATTCATGAACCAAACGAGCTAGATGGAGGGTAGGAAGGAGGAATAGTATTATAGTAATTCTTATGTTGTTTAGTAAGAGGAAGAGAGTTAAAAAGATATATGATAGTTATTTATAAAATTATTATATTGTTCATTTAAATTATTTATTAGTAGTTTATTTCGAGGATAAAATTTTTTTTTAAATGTAAAAGTTAATGAATTTTATGAATCGTCCTATGAATATAAGGATCCAATTTTGTGGGCCCAAAAGAATGAGCTATCCTTCCATCTTTCCCTTCATTATTCTCCTCCCTCCAACCAAATAAATGATTCATTTTCTTCCTCCACCTCTCTCCATCCCTTCATCTCTCCCTCCATCCAAACACACTCTTAAGATTTATTTTGAAGATTATAATTCATCTACTACATTTAATTTATTGAACTAAGCGCAGTCAATGTGAATGTGGAATCCCAAGTAAAGAAATTGTCAATGTGGGAAGAATAGACAGTCGTTGGTCGTCTGGATAAAATTGTGACCAACAAATGCCTGGGTTTCTACTAGGGGGGGTTACAGAATTTATTCTCTTTTACTTTTTTCCTTGACTAGTAGGAAACACTTATTAATAGTTCACAAATTGTAAGTTGTAGAAAACATTTATTATTAGCATGTACACACAATTAAATTATAGTTGTATTGTGAGATCAAACACTATTTAAATATAATAGAATATAATAAATGTGATGTTCAACAATTTCACATTTGCTTCTTCGGTTCTTCCACTATCATTATTATGTTTTCACAATATTTCTGGTTAACAATAGCGATGCTAACAAGCACCACCTGTCTTGCTTTTAGTCCCAATTTAAAATTTGAAAATCGAATCAAATAAAGAGTGAATAAAAAAAAGAAAAAAAAAAACAAACCAACATATATACAAGGTCTTAGGTTTTAATCTTGTGATAAGCAAAAAATAATAATAATAATAATAATAATAATAATAATAATAATAAATATAGGGACCCATGAACAGTTGTAAGCAATGAATATCTGCGACTTTAGCTGTTGTTTTTGGGTGGTGGATAATTAGGTTCTTTTGGTCCCCCTACAACCCAAAATTCATGAAAATGTAAAGCCCTTTTTAATGCGCTTGTGGTAGAAACCTGTCTTCCAACTCCAGGCTAATACAGCCTCCTCCTCCTTTTTATAGTATTCCATACGTTTCAGTTATACACAACATTAATAAAATAAAATAAAAAAGCTATATATTATTACAAAACAAGTACACCTATCGAGAAAATATGAACATTTTTCTAGCCTTTTTTTCCCCCTCTCTCTCGTGTGAAAAGTCACCAACTACTACTACGTTCTCTGCAAGTTCAGACTCAAAGACAAATAAAATAAAAAAGGTCCATACATATAATAACATCACAATCTCACATTTTCCATACAAATTTTATTATATATATATTTTTTTTCAGTCCTGATCTTGTGTCCCCTTCAATTCATTATTCACCCTCCTAATTAGTCCCCCCTACCCGGTTGGTTTTCCCCTTCTCCTTCTACATCTTGGTTTCCTTTCCTCTCTTTCTCCCCCAATAAACGACAACCAAAAAAGAAAATAAAGAAGAAAACAACCCATATTGGCCATTTTTTCTCTTTTCCCCATGGATCTTGTGAGCAAAAGCCACTCGATCCGCGTCTTCTCTCAGGCCCTCCTCTCACCCATCACAAGCCCACAACCACAATATTTCCGAGCCGCCGCCACCACTTCTTCTCTCCACTCAAACGACACAAGCAGTTTCCCCATCATAGCCATTGCCATAATTGGCATCTTGGCCACCGCTTTCCTCTTGGTCAGCTACTACATCTTCGTCATCAAATGCTGCCTCAATTGGCATCGAATCGACGTACTCCGCCGTTTATCGCGCTCCGCAAATCGCGCCCACGAGGACCTCCTCATGGGCTACTCCCCGCGAGGAGGCGGCCTTGACGAATCGGTCATCAGATCAATCCCAATTCTCCACTTCAAGAAAAACAGATTAGGACAGACCATCGCGAGCTTCGACGACAATATCAAATTCTCCGAATGCGCCGTCTGCTTAAACGAGTTCGAAGACGACGAGAAGCTGAGAATCATCCCCAACTGCCTGCACATCTTCCACATAGACTGCATCGACGTCTGGCTGCAGAACAACGCCAACTGCCCGCTCTGCCGCACCAGCATTTCCGCAAACAGATTCCATTTCAACCCCGTCGTCGCCGCCCCGAGCCCTTCTCCGGTCGATCCCGGGCCTTTCGACGACGAAGACTACGTCGTTATCGAGCTCTCGAACGAGACTAACAACGGTACTGCGGATCGGAATGTTGTCGGTCAGCATAGGGAAATTTCTCCAGCGAGGAAGATCGAGTGTTCGAAGAAAATGAGGAGCAAGTTTTTGAGCAAGGGAACGAGCATGGGAGACGAGTGTATTGAGAGTACCAGAGACAAAGATGAGGTCTTTTCGGTCCAGCCGATCAGGAGATCTTTCTCGATGGACTCGTCGGCGGATCGGAAAATGTTTTTGGCAATTCAAGAAGCTGTTCGGCATAGCAGACAAGTTAGTGGTAGTGATGTAAGTCCAAAAAGTCCCATTGATGGTTCTTGTAGTAGCAGTAGCAGTAATATCAGTAGAGTTAAGAGATCTTTCTTTTCTTTTGGCCATGGCAGAGGAGGCTCATCAAGAAGTGCAGTTTTACCTGTTTATTTAGAACCATAATTTTTTTTTTTTTTTTTTGAGTTTTGTGAGATATGGAGATTCTTAGATTGTATTATTGAGATTATAGGATGTGTAACATAATGAGATTCAATTTTTTTCAATTCAAATTTGAAAGATAGCTTATAATAAGAGATGTTATTATGAGCATCATCATTGCTGAAATCACTTATCCTTTCTTTTTCTTTTCTACTATTTTTTTTTTTTTTTTTTTTTTTTTTTTTTTTTTTTTTTTTTTGTGGTGTGGGGTGGTGGGGGGTTATTAATTTCCATCAAAATTGGTTCAAATATCAAAATCTTTCGTTTTTTTTTTTAAATTCTTATTAGAAAAGACAGACCAACTAAAAGGCTAAAAGTAAGCATCAAATATTAAGTAATGACAAGGAAACGAAACTGTAACCCATGAAAGAGGTCCCAACTAGCTAAAGGAGAATCCAAAGGTTGGGAAAAAAAATTATTCCAATTCTTTTCCCTTATTGATTATTGATTAAGTTGGTAGTGAGGGGTCATCTTCAAGTTGAAAATAAACTCTCTCTCTCTCTCTCTCTCTTTTTGCCACCAACTTGTTGTGTCATATTATGCTGCTTCTGATGGTACTGAGGATATATAGTTTGGTGATATGGTTTGGTAATGATTCTTGTTCCATGCTTCTTCTATTATTTTTTCCCTCTCTGTTGGAATAATTTTTGTTTATTTGTAGTTCAATAACCAGCTTGCAAAACTTTTAATTAGACAAATACAGGTCTTGTTTTGCATTTAGGTAGTGAAAATTCCGAACAATTGTAACTACAATATATAAGGAGTTTCAATGCAGAACAGCTAAGTCAATAATGAGTACTTACCTCAGGTAGGGGTATTGAGCATCCTACAATATGAGACACGTGTATAAATGTGATATTCTTTCTATTAGTTACGGTGCTTAACCACAGTAGTGTTTCAAAACATTTTTCATATAAGATCGTGGAATGTGTTTTAACGAGAATTCTATGATAGAGTGTGAAAAAATAACTTATATGACAATTTTTAATCTCAGATTACAATAAAATCAAATTACATTAAGAAAAGTATGATTTTTTAATGGATCTTAATTCAAAATCTGGCTGTTAAAAATTACGTCCAATAATAAGATATTTTTCTATATTCTACCAACATTTTCTCCATGTTTTAAAAGGATTTTTTTTTAATCTCCGAATATCTCTATGTTCATGAACATAAAGAGTGTCACAGCATCTTAAAGACCATATTATTGCCGAAAAAAAGCCTTTTCAGGAGGAAAAGGAATAGTGCAGGATGAACCATACGTGGGTGAGTTGAATAAAACAGTGAAAAATTGATCAAAAACACAAGAGAAGCACTTTTTTCGGTAAGAAAAAAATGAAAAACAGTTGAGACAGTGGGCATTTTACTGTTACAATGTCAATAAGACTGGAGTTTCATCTAAAAAATAGTGTCTCAGTTCTGTTTTATTGCAGAAATGCTCGTGATCTGATAGTTGTGTTCTGTCACTTGCCTTTACATTATATGAAAAGTTAAAAATATTATAAAATGAAAGGGAAAAAAAAAAAGGCTCATGTGTACTTAGAACTATACATTACGCAGAATCGCAGATTATAACTTATAAAAGTGTACACTTTTTTTACATCATTATTATATGTTATAATACGATTGGACTAAAGGGCGTCACAATATTATTACGGGCAAATAAAAGGTCTTTCTATAGTATTACATGTCTATTATTAGATCCAGCCAAAATCATATCAAAATAATAAAAAATATATAACAGACAGTCTTTTATACGAATTTAACGGATAAACACATAAATCTATCGGTATTTTATTTTTGTCAAATATTCTATCTAGAGGTGTAAATTTGAGCCGCCAAGCCCGAACTGGTTTTATTCGTATTTTATTTTTATCATATGTCCAATCTAGAAGTGTAAATTTAAGCCGCCTGGCTAGAGACCGGTCTTAAAAAAGAAAGGGTTGGCTTAGCCCGGTCTTAAGCTCAAAAAGTTTAAGGCTAGTCTGGCTTAGAATTTTATGAAGTATTTTTTTTTTTTTTAAAAAAAACTTTTAAAAATATGATGCCTAAAAGGAAAGAGGGTCGACCCAACCTAATCTTAAATCTAAAAAATTTAGTGTCAGATTAAACCCAAACCAACAATGACGGGTCACGAATGGGTCCGTTCAACCGACTTAAATTTGCAACTCTAGTTCTATCGTAGAAATCTCCGAACTAAAAACCTTTCTAACTTCTAACATTATCTTTCGGGTAATAAGTTTACCATAGGAGGACACTGAGAGTCAAATACTACCTTCCACCAACTACTTATATAGAGTAGCCATAGTGGATGATAGTAATTGTTAAAGCTTTCTACTTCATAGCCATGTGCCTCTACGTATGGGCAATGACGACCATTGTTTGCGCCACATTTTTTCCACCTGTATGTCTTGTCGGGCTTATCCGCTTTCTTAAACCAAGATGGCTAATGGGTAGACCTAACATTAGTCCGCATAACCGTTTGGTAATCTTGATACCTTACCTTCCTCTTATGTATGGATCAAAATATTTACTTTTTATTCTTAATTTATAATCTTTTTAATTAAATAATTACACTAATAACAACACATGCCAATAATATGTCATACAAATACATGATTATGATGTGATTAAATGTGCACCTACTTTTTAGTTAGTTAGCATTTTTCAAGCTAGCGGATGATATATCTATTATGAATCATGGGTGTTCACGGTTGAATTTCGTCAACAGAATTACGCAAGATTACCTCTTGGTATTCTGTTGGGTTACCGGCCTGAAATTGTTTATATATTTAGTGTAATACTGCTAAAGTGCTTTTGGTAGTTTTATAATTGTAGAAGTGTGGAAGTGGTGCCTGAATGTATATAAAAGACACGCAAGTTTTGTAGTGGTTCACTCTGTTAATCAAGAGCTACATTCACTGTGTATTGTATATCTTTTTTCTCTATTGTTTTGTCCCCTATTACGACTCTGCAGATCCTATAATCCTCAACTGTCCATTACAGGCGGTTTTAGGGACTCATAATTAATCCCTGCGCTAATGACATCTTTTGAACCAGACGTAACCTGCCTGTGTCAAGGATTTTTATTGAGGCACTCCGTAACCCATACTCTGCCCTCGACGTCTATGCTAGGGAACTAGGCTCTTCGCTTGACTGACTCTTGTGGAGCTTCCAATGCGCAAGTCATACAGGCCTCGACGGTCTTGAGTGGTCAGCGGTCTAAGGATTCGTTTGTACGTTTAGCCTTTCCAGTCATTCAGAAGGAAAACAAGGCCCAGACGTCAACTGCTATTCGTTGTGGCAAACATAGAGCCACGTGGAGTGCTATTGCCACCCCACGTGTTAGCTCACATTTTCCCATATAACAATGGGCTTGGAGTATTTGTTACGTAGGTGATTGTGAATATTGATTATGTCATTTTTTTCCGTCCAGTACTACGTATAGGAAACACTCTCGATACGTCTACGTTGGAGAAACTTCCACAAGAATTATCGTAGTCACATAATATCATCTCGTGTAAGAAACTTAAAATTCTCCCCAATCCATTAATATCTTTGATCTCTTTTCATATTACATACAAATACGTGTTCGAGAATACGTCTAGTTTTTCTTCTTCTTCTTCCTACGCGAGCTTATTGATAGTGCATGTTTGTAAACATTATATATAAAAATCACATTAAAATATAAAAATATACAAAACTTATATATCTTTATAAAAAAAATTTGTTTAAAAAATTATTTTCCGTACCTTAATGTAAAATTTTTTATAAAAGATTTTACGACAAATAAGTCGCTTTGGCCTATTAATAGAGCAAGTTTTTTTAGTCATGTAATTAAAATCCTTGAATGTGAATTGTTTTGAGGAACATAGATTATTTGCAACATGATATTCATAAATCAAATTAAAATGAATGGAATAACTAAGGCCTTATTCATTTCACCAATTCGAGTTTTCAGTTTTAGGTTTTTATAGTTAAATGCTCTCAGAAAATATCACATCTAACTTTTTCTGTTACAGTTAAAAGCTATCATAATATATTACATCTCAATTCAAATTGAAAACTTGAATCCACGAAGCGAAGGAGGCCTAAAGTACACTAAAGTATTGTGTCTTGTCACACTTTTTTTTCCCATTTTTTGGGGTATTTTGCACATTTATCACTTGAATTTGTAGGGGTTTGGCACGTAAACTTCTAACTTTGAAAATTTACCTTTCCAATTTGAATATAGTTGCAATTTGCTATATTTTATTAACTTTGCTTTGATTTTTTTTTTTGGTCAAATTCAAGAGATTGATATTTAAGAAATTGAGAGACTTGTGTTACGGTTTAAATTGTAATGTTAAAATTTTTCATCGAACGTGTTTTTTTATCACTAATTTAATAGAATCATCATTAAAATAGGAAACACTCCAACTATTTTGCCAATTGAGAAAGTAAATTGTCAAAATTTGAATTTTAAGAGGCAAATTATTAAACTTGTGAAAATTCATGGGGCAAATGCACAAATAATCGCTCTTTTATTTAGAAATACGTGTCATAAGGATCACTTTTTGTCGCTTCAACATCTTGGTTTGTTCTTTTACAGTTTTATCGTTTTTGTAGCTTTTTAAGTATTAGTTTGATTCGAGTTTAAAATTTGAGTGAGGTGTGATTTTATGTAAAAATTTTTTATTATAATAAAAAAATTAAATATAATTATTTATTTATGAGAGTTTTTTTACTGTAATAAAACTCAAATTTTAAATTTGAATTAGTGAAATTAACATGTCTAAACTATTTTTTTTTTTTCGATGGCATTTTTCAGAAAAGATGGTCGTTTTCTTCGAAAGCGCAATTGCGTAAAGGACGTTCCTTTCCTGAATGAATCTCTGTATTTTCTCTCACTTTCGTAAGAGCTTGGCCTAGCCATTGATTCAGCAGAAACATTACAATCCAATCCAATTCGTGAAATTCAGACTCCCAAATCAGTTGAAAGAAGATGAAGATCATGGTGGCGATAAAGCGCGTCGTCGATTACGCCGTCAAAATCCGAGTCAAACCCGACAAGGTAAGGAAAAACAAAACCCAACAACAAAAACAACAAATATCAATTCAAAATTTCACCCCAAAACGCATGTCGTTTTCTTCCATTGCCAGACCGGCGTAGAAACCCAGAACGTGAAGATGTCGATGAACCCCTTCTGCGAGATTGCCCTGGAAGAGGCCCTCCGAATCAGAGAGTCCGGATTGGCGTCGGAGGTTGTGGCTGTCAGCATGGGCCCCACCCAGTGCGTGGACACTCTCAGAACAGGTCTCGCCATGGGAGCCGATAGAGGAATTCATGTGGAATCTAATGGAGCTTTGTACCCGCTTTCCGTTGCCAAGCTTTTGAGAGCTCTTGTGGAGGTTGAGAAGCCTGGACTTCTAATTCTTGGCAAACAGGTCCTTTTTCTGATTCTTTTGCTTGTTTCCGGACTTGGGTACTTTTTATTTTTCAATATAGTATTACACTTGTATTATCCAGTTTTGGTTCTAATGGAGACATAAATAAGACTAAAAAAATTATATATGAGAGTCTTAAGAGAAAAGGGTAAACTTCTTATATGCTTAGTAATAAAATTTTATTGCCACAGATTTTCATACTTTGAAAGTTGTGCGTCATAACCTCATTGTCAATGTCATTACAAATGTCTTTTATTGATGTACATATATTCAAATTGTCATTCATCGATTGATCTCTCATTCATTTCGGTAAACGATGCTTCGCAATATTCATAGCAGAAAATAGTGTCAACTGTAGAAGTGGCAACTGGAGGGACTAACGTTTGATATAACAGTGAAAATGAATTTTGTTTTTATGAGTATGTGAATGGTTTTCTTTTTTCATAGGCTATTGATGATGATTGCAATCAGACTGGGCAAATGGTTGCAGGGCTACTGAATTGGCCACAAGGGACTTTTGCTTCAAGGGTTAGTTTCCTTTTATTGACTTCCTTTTTTTTTCTTTTATTACTTTTGGTTCAAAGGTATATATTTTTCTAGTTGCATGATTTGAGTCCATGCTTCCTTGGTTTTTATCTGATCATACTGATTTAGTAATTGAGGAATATGTTTTTCCTGTTGCTTTCATGACTTCATCAATCTGGCCTTAGATAAGGCTGTTTGAACATGTAAGCAGGAATAAAAAATTCAAGTATCAAAATAGCTTGATGATGCTAGAGAACATTAATTTTAAAGGAGTCCCTTTTGTTGTTTTGAGGAAAATTTAGTGGTCGTGACGATTATTGGGTAAATAGGACCAAGAGTGGAATTTTACTTGCTTCAAAATGAGAGTTTAAATTGGAGTCACTTGGTTTGATCAGAATTCTATTTTCATATTTCACTGTCTGTTATGAAAATGAAACAGATTAGCTTATCAATCAATAAGATGGAACTTTGGGACTTAAAAGTTCATAAATTGACTTGGCATGTTTGTTGCATTCTTGCCAATAACAGGCAGGGTGGATTCTTACTCCATCCAACTTGAATAGTTCACAAAGCCATGTATATAGGGAAAAAATGGTAACTTGAGTGTTTTTGCCTTGGTTCGTTTGAATCTAGTAGCGTCAGCAAGGCATTCATCGTGCAGAAACTCAGAAGATAGGTTGGAATGGTGGAAAAGGCTTGAAAGCTAAGGACTTCAGATGGTTAGAATGAAAGATATTTGAGGCATTTATAGTATCAACTTTGAGTTAATACTGATAAGCCTCCTATTCGGTTCACTTATGCTAGGCGTGGCAAGCACATGAGGGGGGGAAAATTAGTTGGTACGGTAAGGTCTATTTGGGAAACTTGTGTGGGGCTTGGGGTTCTGTGTTAGTTATAGGGGAATTCAGTTGTAATGGAATAAGTAGGGGGAATTCCGCGAGAAAAGGCAGGCAATTAGTGAGTGAAGAAGAGTAGTTCCTCTGGGAGAGAATTGAGCCTCTCTAAAGCTCAATACCTAGCTTACTTTCTTGTATTTTCTGTATTTCTGATTGGCTTCCATTAATACAAATTCCCAGCTTCTTTTTCCTATCATTTCGCTACTATCTGTGTGGTATCTATCATCTGGTATCAGAGCAAGTCATCGGAAGATGGTGAATAGAAGGATTGCAGGCCGAGGAGAGGTGGTGGAGGATCGGGGGGAGGAACAACAGGCACCGACGGAAGAAGTAGACCCGGGGGAGCTTCAGCGGGAGTTGCGGGAGCTCCGAGGAGACCGACAACGCCTTGCGGTGTTGGAGAGGAGCCTTGATACCATCGTGGCACGGATGTCGGTGCCGGATGTCGGTGCTCGATCGGGTGGAACAGGCGCTCCAGAAGTTGGAGGATCCGTCACGACTGGGAGGAAATGAGGGAAATAAGGGAAAATTGCTCCATCTGGAGTCCTCGAACCAGGGGGCGACGTTCGCCGCGGGGGAGGAGGGTCAACCCAGCGGACCCACTGGGATTGAGCGTTCCGATTGGGATCTGGGTGAACCGCGCATGCGTCGGTTGGAGATGACCATGTTTGACGGGGAGAATCCAGAGGGCTGGCTATTCCGTGCTGAGCGATACTTCGCGATCAACCGGTTGACAGAGCCCGAGAAGCTACAGGCTGCGGCGATCTGCATGGATGGGGAGGCCTTGGCTTGGTTTCAATGGGCGGATGGACGGAGGCCTATTCGCAGCTGGCAAGAACTGAGGATTCACGTGCTGGATCGATTCCGTTTGACCCAGGAGGGGTCCATTTGCGAAAAATTTCTGGCTCTTCGCCAGGAGGGGTCGGTACAGGAGTACCATCGGAGGTTTGAACTCTTGGCTTCTCCGCTGAGTGAAGTTTCAGAAGAGGTGATGGAGAGCACGTTTATCAACGGGCTAAAACTGGAAGTTCGGGCGGAGGTCCGTTTGGCTAACCCCAGCGGGTTGACCCGGATCATGGAGTATGCCCAACGGGTTGAAGACAGGAATAGCATGATACGACCGAACCGAATAGCTGTGACGGGGCCATGGGGATGGATGTCGAGTGGGGGCCCCTCGGCGAGCCTAACCGGGCAGCTACCTTCAATCTCAAAGGCCCAGGCGCAGGGGCCACGTCCTCCAGGTAACCCATCCATTGCCCCTCTTCCCTTTAAGAAAATGACTGATGCAGAATGGAAAGCTAAGAGGGACAAGGGACTTTGTTTTCGTTGCGATGAGAAATACTCATTTGGCCACCGTTGCAAAAACAAGGAACTTCACATTTTAATGATTAATGATGAGATAGAAGTAGGTGAGTGGGATGAGGCCGAGAGGGAAGGGCAGGAAGGAAGCACGGAGGAGGTCCGTGAGATAGTGGAACTGTCCATTAATTCTGTAGTTGGCCTGACCACCCCAGAAACCATGAAGGTTAATGGGCGAATTGGCCAGCAAGAGGTGGTGGTGATGGTCGATTGTGGGGCCACACATAACTTCATCTCGGTAGCGTTGGTTGAAAAATTGGGGATCCCAAAGGTGGGGACTAATTGCTATGGGGTGTTGATGGGCACGGGAATAACCATAAAAGGAGAGGGGATGTGTAAAGGGGTCGTGCTAACCCTCCAGAACACTGAGATCATTGAGGATTTCCTACCTCTGGAACTAGGCAGTGTAGATGTAATCTTGGGCATGTAGTGGCTTGAACCCTGGGTGGCATGCAGGTGAATTGGAAGACATTGACGATGAAGTTCCGGCTGGGGGGGGTTTCGCAGTGACCCTTCAAGGGGATCCCAGTCTATGTCACTCGGTCAAGGCTTTCCGTGAGCAGGATGAAGGGGTGCTGTTGGAATTGGGAAGCATCTCCGTGGAAGATGGGGAAAAGCAGGCGGTTATTCCACAGCCCCTGGTGGAGGTAGTGCATCAGCACCGGCGTATCTTCGAGTGGCCACAGGGGCTACCACCGAGTCGCGGACGAGATCACGCGATCACACTCCAACCGGGCATTGCGCCAATAAACGTGCGGCCCTACAGGTATCCATAGATTCAAAAGACCGAGATTGAGCGCCTGGTGAGGGACATGTTGGCGGCAGGGATAATTCAGCCAAGTATTAGCCCTTATTCGAGCCCAGTTCTGCTAGTTAAGAAAAAAGACGGTAGCTGGAGGTTTTACGTGGATTATCGCGCATTGAATAAAGCGACAGTACCGGACAAATTTCCGATTCCATTGATCAATGAGTTATTGGATGAGCTCCAGGGGGCCACGGTTTTCTCCAAACTCGATCTCAAGTCAGGATATCATTAAATCCGTGTCAGGCAAGAGGACGTTCCTAAGACTGCATTCTGAACCCCCGACGGCCACTATGAGTTCTTGGTAATGCCTTTCAGGCTTACCAATGCCCCGGCAACCTTTCAGGCTCTCATGAATGAGATTTTCCAGGAGCATCTGCGGCAGTTTGTACTCTTTTTTTTTATGACATTTTAGTGTACAGTCGGACCATGGACGATCATGTCATCCATTTGCAAAGGGTACTAGACATTTTGGGGGCGCACCAGTTATTTGCCAATGAGAAGAAGTGTGAGTTCGGCCAATCCCAACTGGAGTACCTTGGCCATATCATTTCTGCCGACAGGGTTGCAGCGGATGAAGCTAAAATCTTGGCCATGCTCCATTGGCCAACGCCAACTACGCTGCGGGAGCTACGACGGTTCCTCGGGCTTACAGGTTACTACCGCCGGTTCGTGGCCGGTTATGGCACACTGGCTTGGCCGCTCACCCAACTCCTTAAGCACGACAGCTTCCACTGGGATGTCGCGGCCACAAAGGCTTTTTCCCGCCTCAAGCAGGCCATGACAACGGTGCCAGTCTTGCCTCGTCATCGCTAACCAACATGATTCGAAGCTCCTTCCTCTTACAACGATGCCCAAACGTGAACTTCTCATCACACCTAAAGCACAGCCCTTTGTCTCTCTTCTCTTGTAACTCAGAGTCCGACAACTTGCGAAAAGGAAAATCTCGCTTCGGATTTTCTGTTTTATCCAAAATGGCTGGAGCTTGCTGTGGACGCTCAACTCCCGATAATGTCCTAGCGGGAAATGTAGTGAATTCAGCCCGTGGTCCACCAAAAAATTGTGATCTTGATATTCTTGTTTGAAGTTTTTAGGGAATGATTATTCTCTCATAGATAAAAACATGTATGTACAGCCCTACTTATACATTAGGTCTCTGTTCACCCTAGCACTAATTACATAATTATTGATTCCATATAGAATCCGGAAATAAAGAATAAAACAGGAAACAAACCAGAAATTAAGAAACTACCATAAATAGAGATATTGGGAATAATTCGAAATCTCTACATTCCTAATTTACTATTGTCAACTATTCTAGAATTTCCTTAACCGAGTATTTCTACACTCCCCCTCAAGCTAGGCGTAAATGTTGATCAAGCCTAGCTTGGAACTCAATTCTTCAAAATTCTTCCTTGGCAGAGCTTTAGTGAGAATATCTGCTATTTGCTGACTTGTAGAGACGTGTAGTAAACTCATGATCCCGTTGTCTATCTTTTCTTTGATGAAGTGACGATCTATCTCCACGTGTTTTGTTCGATCATGATGAACATGATTTTTAGCTATATTGATAGCTGATTGATTGTCACAGAATACTTTCATAGGAGATGGGATACCAATCCTTAATTCACTGAGTAATCTGTCTAGCCATAGACCTTCACAAATGCCAAGTGCCAGTGCTCTGAATTCTGCTTCTGCACTACTCCGTGATACTACTGGTTGTTTCTTACTTCGCCAAGTAACTAGGTTTCCCCATACATACGTGCAATAACCAGAGGTGGACCTCCGATCAGTGATAGATCCAGCCCAATCAGCATCTGCAAATACTTCAATGTCTCTTCTTGTTGCTTTTCCGAAGTATAATCCCTTGCCTGGTGTCGTTTTCAGATATCTCAATATTTGATTGACTGCTTCCATGTGTTCCTCGGTAGGTTCATTCATGAATT